TGGATGAGTGTGTGCATATCAGCGTATATGTATGTGTGTGCGTGTCCAGAGTTCAGCTGAGACAGTGTCCTTCGCCCTGCTAGGCTAAGTAAACAGTCTTCCAGCCAACCCAGGTGGCCTTGCATGGAATGGGAAGGAACAGACTAAACACAGTCGTTATCAGGGAGTTTTTGTTCCGTGCCAGCCTTGCGACCGCAGCTGGCGCCGAAAGGGTATCCGCATGAAGTGATGGTGCTTTTTACTTTAGTGCGAACAGCTCATATGAGCTGACAAACAGACAAACTGAGCATCAGAAAGAGGAAGGAAAGTTATTTAAGTGAGATTGATTGATGTTGCTGGGTGGCCTATTCCAGAAGCTGCTGAACTACTAGGATTTTCCTGCACAAGGAGAATAAACAAAGAATAAAAGATCCAGGGGGTGACTGTTCTCTGAGCAAAAATGTCTCGTTGGTGTCAGAGATCAGAGGAGGATCCCTAGACGGCTTCAGACAGATAGGAAGGTAACAGTAACTCATTATAATATAATCAAGATAAGCAGAAGAGCATCTCTGAATACACAACACATGGAACATTGAAGCAGAAGAAGAAGACCACACCAGATGTGATTTCTGTCAGCTAAGAACAGGAAACGGTGCAAATCACATGGGCTCACCAAAATTGGATCATAAAAGATGTGAAAGATGTACTTTTGAATGATGAGCCTTGATTTCTCTTGCGACATTCAGATCCATCCTGCCAAAACAGTTCAGGGCGGTGGTGGTGTAATGGTGCGGGGATTACATTTTGGCACACACTTTGGGCTCCTTAATACCAACTCAGCTTTGTTTCAACACCACAGCCTATTGCTGACCTTGTCAGCTATGTAATGACCAAAGTGTACCCATCTTATAATAAACCATGTTATAACACTCTGATCATCATGGTTTCTTGAACATGACAGCGAGGTCACTGTACTCAAATGACAACTAAGGTTCCAACCAACCAGGAGTTGTACCTAATAAAGTATTCACTGACAGTAATACACTAGAAATGTGCGTACAAAACAGCAGCACATAACGAATCTTTTATGTTTAATTTCATCTTATCTTGTGACATTGCTTAATAATT